CACACACACACAGACAGAGAGAGCCCCCGCCTCGATGACAGCGAAGAAAATGTAGGGGTGGAAGCGGTGACCCGAGGGTAGTGGCCACAACTCTTTATCTTGGCAGCGGTGTGAAAAGGTCGTGTTGGATTTAGGCGGAGAGAGTTGGACACATATTTAATTTTGCAATCCGTTGTTTTGCATATGCTGCAAGTGAGTTTGAATGGAAGGAAGGCGTGTGGACGAAATGCATCACAATTACGAGCCTCCGTACTTGTTTAAAAATGTACACATGTTCACAAACCTGGTCGTATTGCTGATAAAGATTTATTTGGATTATATGAAAAATGAATACGTGGTGGAATATAGATGGTACCAAACAGATATATTAGCGAATTATTAATATTTCTTTGACGCAAACGTTCAAAAAAAAAACAAAAAAAAACACAAATTACAACTGAGAGAATCGGTATTTAGCATCGTTGGTATTGCTAAGAAACATTTAAGTCGTATTATGTATTTTGATGCAAATAATTTTATTGTCATGCATTAAGTCAATCATTACTAATACGTAATTTTAAAAAAGGAATAAAGTTATTTACTATCAATGAGGCTTTCAATTTATATAGTGGTGGAAATGAAGTATATTCATTTGAAGTAGATTTAACTATTCCAGATCATTTACATGACAAATTTAAAGATTTTCCGCTATGTCCTGATCATTCTATTCCGAATATGAATGAATTATCAAAATATCAACAGCATCTTCTAAAGAAAGGTATAGGACACATTCCAAACAATATTGAGCTCGTGAATACATTTAAATTGAACACAATGACTACTATGAAATTGAAATATGTGATTGATTATAGAATGTTAAGTATGTAGTACAACAAGGTATTTTTTTCAAAGTTATATCATCTGATCAAAAAGCATGGTTGGAATCATATTATGAAAAAATACAGCCTAGGGCAGCATCCAGATAATGATTTTGAAAAAGATTTCTTTAAACTCATGAATAATTCAGTATGTGGAAAACAAATGGAAAATGTACGAAAAAGATGTGATGTAAAACTTCCATCCAGTTATCATAAAATTCATAAAACTGTATGTCAGCTCAAACTGCATGTTTCTCCCACAGAAGGAAAGCACAAGTATGGTGTGATGCTCAGTGTTATAAAAAAGATTTGTACTCAAGCTGTTGCATGAGGCTTGAAGACGGAAAGTGGAAGCACAGCTGTTGCTACAGAAGTACACACTTTAAATGCATACAAGAGCAAGAACTAACCTCAAACATCTCCTTAGAAAAAAGGAAGCGGAATATAGTTAAGACGAAGGAATTTGGATTGCCGAAGAAGCTCTTAAAAATCTATACGTCGCACTAGAACTTAAGACACCCATATTCCCACACTAGATAAATATGTGTACTTGGATGGACCACTTCACCAAAAATCTCAACAAGCGAAATAAAGTCAGCGCTTTCGAAGAGCCTCGGGATAGATGAGCAAGAGATTTCCTCTCGATCATGAGCAGAGAAGTAGCTAACGCCTCGCAATCATTAAATGGTAACAAAGTCAAAGGTCCAGACAATATTTATAGCGAGCAATTAAAAAACCTATCTTACTGGTAAAAAGTTCAACTGGGATGATGCTGTTACAGTTTTTGACAACGTCTGGCACCCCATTTTTCTTCAACTTTCATATAAGGGATGTTGGACACACTACGATAATTGGGCTAACTGGTGCTGGTAAGACTGTTTTAATGAATTTCTTATGTGGTCAAGCAATGAAATTTTCTCCAAGAATATTCTTTTTTGAAAAAGATCGTGATGCAGAGATTTTTTAAGAACACTTGGTGGCATCTATACTATAATAGAACCAAGACGTTTTGCAGAGTTTGCTAAAATATACTTGAGTATTACTGTTCAACAAATGAATAGAAACGGGATAAAATTCCTGAAATGTGGATAGAATCCCCAATGACAATTCTGGATAATTTCCCGTTCCAAAACAGCTTACAAACTTCACGAAAATATTAACGAACAAATGACTAAAACCATGGAAGAAAATTTACCAGAGAATCAGCTGGGTTTCCCAAAAGGGAGCTCAACTATTCATGCTGCTCAGAATTTCCTGAATGATATGACGAATAAGGAGGAAAACTTTAAGACTATTACAGAAACTAGAAGAAAATATGAATTAAGAAAAATGTCCACCATCAGTGCTACAGAACGAACTGCATGCGAACTTCGTGATCATGTATGACAACGTACAGAAGTCAGCAAAATCATACAACAGACGGTGCACCACAAGAAGACTGTCCCAGTCCTGTGCTATTCGACATAGCAATGATGCTTCTCAAATATTGCTATGTCTAGAACAAGTAGGGTAACGTGGGTTAAGAGTCCGCCCTTTCAATAAAAGAAGTGAGTTCCACTCAGGTAATTGGTGTATTGATTCGACTTTTATGCAGAGCTATGTTTAGTGTATGAAGAATAAACTATACAAACAAGAATGGCGTATGTTTAAATTTGATTTCTAAAAAAACATTAAAGAACGAAGTGGGGGCAAACGAAAGGGACAAAAGTCCGAATATGCAAAACATTT